AGTTTAGTAACAGGTGAATTTTTACTATTAAACTTAGTAAAATAACTCTGCAATTTCAGTTTTACTAAGAAAACTTAGTAATAACCACTATCATTATTTTAGTTTACTAAGAAAACTTAGTAATAACCATTATTGTAGCTTTGCTTTACTAAGACAATTTAGTAATAACCCTCATTGCGACTTCAGCTTTGCTAAGGCAATTTAATAATAAATGCCACGTTTGACTTTCAGAGCAGTATTTTAATATAAAAAATTAATAACAATTAATTTTTTATTAATAAATGTCACCTCTGACTTTCGGGGTGGCATTTTATTATTAAAAATTAACTTTTTAATAATAAATGTTATGTTCAACTTTCGGGATGGTATTTTGTTATTAAAAATTAATAATAAATGTTGCGTCTGACTTTTAGAGCAGTATTTTAATATAAAAAATTAATAAAATTAATTTTTTTATTAATAAATGTCACATCTGACTTTTAGGGCAACATTTTATTATTAATCATTAATTTTTTTAATAATAAATTCCACCTCTGACTTTCGGGCAGCATTTATTATTAAAATTAAATTTTTTTAATAATAAATGTTATGTCTGATTTTCGGGCAGCATTTTATTATTAAAAATTAAATTTTTTTAATTATAAATGTCACGTCTGACTTTCGGGTGGCATTTTATTATTAAAAATTAAATTTTTTAATAATAAATATCACGTCTGACTTCGGGGTTACATTTATTATTTTAAATCCAACAAATCATATCTGAATTCAAATCCAAATCTGATTAATCAAATCTGAATCCTAATCCAAATCTGTCAGATTAAATCAGATTTTTTTGCGAAATGCTAGCTAATCCTAATCAATTACCTGGATATGTTATTTATATTATTTAGAATACTTTTTTGGCATATAGTATTACCATTAGTATAATAAAAAAATTCATTTTTTACGTTCAAAAAAATCCTAAATTTCAATATATAAAGTAATCAAAAAATAAAAAAAATCTCAAAGTGCTTTTCTTAAAAGTGAAAATATGCCTATTTTCAAACTATGTGTTATTACAATTTGTTAGAAATAATTAATGCAATGAAGAAATGTAACTAAAATGTTTTTAGTAAAGATCAAATTAACAAAACTCTACCAAGTTATATTTAATTAGACAATACTATTTGTATAAACTGTTATAACAGAATTATAATTAATATTTTAAATGAATTTCAACAACATGACATGCTCAAGCTAGTATAAATTGTAAACATGAGAAGACCGACAAGACTAATGAAGCTAAAAATAAGTTTGAGATGGTTGATGAGACCAATGAGACTGAAAACGATAATATCAATTTATCATTTTTTCAAGCAATAGCAGTAATAACAGATATATTGTATATGCATGAAAATAAAGAGAAAAAACTGCTAGTATATTCATAAGATGAGTTTAAAATAATTATGGAAGGGGAGGATGCTAGATTAAAATATTTTTTTGATGAATTATATTTATCTTCTATCTTATTCTTAAAGAATAAAGAGTCACAGATATAGATAAGAAGACAGCTTTTATTTATTTGCTATTTTATTTGTGGAATTTGTAACAAATTTATAAATGATGCAAAGAGGGATTTAGCAATATATTTGGATTCAACTGGTATATCTAATTCTTCTATAGACACTCTTGCTGATTTAGGTATAATTACAACTTTGCGTATGATTACACAACACATATGCTCAACTTATGGGGTTAATTCATCTGAAAATAACAGAAGTTCTCCAAATAGAGCTTCATAGAAAAAACCAAATAAAATTAGCAATAGTAGCATTGTGCCAGTATTCAATTACTAAAAAAAACCCAGATGGAACAAGTGATAAATCATATATAGAAAATCATCAAAGAGGGAGAATGCAATTGATTCTTTTAGAAGAAGATATAGATGAACATATAACAAAAACTACGGGGGAAATAGATAATCAAATTGAAGAAACATTAAAAAGGGATCTGATTATATTCTCGAACGAATTCTTGAAATATCTATTGAGGTATATACTTTGCGACGAGCTTCTGGAGGATCTTTCATCCCCACCCCAAAAAGCTTGCCAATACAAAATGTATTATCAATCCAAATAATTACGTTCTTATAGATCTAGAAACAAATAAACCTTCTGAAAACTGCCTTCAAGATGCAGTAGGTGTCTACTTTGCTCATCAGGATGGACAAACAAATAATCTTAATCGAATTTTTAGAGATAAGAATCTTAAACCCTACTTAGATATTGTTAAGCTAGATGGAATCCCAATGCCTACCCCATCTGCTCACGTATATTTAATAAGATTGAGGAGATGAATCCAGATATCTCCATTAGTATCTAGGAATAGAAAGAAGAAACAGCTACACCAAAACCTGTGATAGCTAGTAAAAACTTTAAAAGCAACATAAAATTCGTCTATTGACCCTTACAGATATTACTAAAGATAATGAGACAGATAAGAATAGGCAAAAGAACCACTTTCTCTAGGTCAAAAATCCTAGCAGATTAATATATAGTGATAATACGCATAAAGAAAAGAAATATTTATGTGATGGATACACTATAAGCTGGCCTTCTGAAAATCTCTAGAACATCATTTAGAATGGTTTTCAGGAATACATGAAAATGCTCTTCAAAGAGTCGCAATGCCAGTAAAAGGGATCAATAATTACGAAAAGTTCAAAAACTATGGTCGAATGATAAATGCCACGTGTGTTATTATAGCCAATTTTGAGGCTGGCAATAAGAAGTGTAATAAAGCATATGGTGAAAGTATGATTAAACTCACTGAGCAGAAGGCCAATAGTTTCTGTTATCTAATCCAATGGATTGACACTGGAGATGTATAGGGTCCTTTCCTATACAGGGGAGAAAATGCTATACAGAAATTCATTCGAAGAATTGATCAGGAGCTGGTCAAATTAATGAGATTCTAGCCATTAAACATGAGCGAATTGAGATCAAAGAAGACAAGAAAAGATTTGCTAATGCTATTAGCTATTGGATCTGTAAAGATAAGTTTGATATAATATAGATGAAATTGAGCATCTAGAGACAAAATAACCAGTCTTAAAGTGAAGCTAGAAAAGTTTAAAAAAGGTTCAGCTGAATATAATGGTATTGAAACAACCATTGATAATGTGACTAAGGCAATTGCCAGTAAAAAGCTAAAGCTAATAAGGTCTGAGATCACTGTCATATCACAGGTAAGTTTCGTGGATCAGCTCATAGGATTGTAATCTTAAACTCCAAATACAGGATTGGAAGACTCCAATACCAGTTATATTTCACAACTTTCGAGATTATGACTCTCACTTGCTTCATATCCAAGTTATAGCCAAAACATTTGAGCGATATAAATCTATGAAGGTAGACCAACTTAAATATATAGATAGCATGCAGTTCATGAATAGTAGCTTGGCCAGTCTTACAAAAAATTTGGGTGATAACCACCTAATAACAAGCCAATATTTCAAAAAATTAAGTTATACAAAAGAGCAATTAGTATTAGTATATTGCAAAGGAGTTTATTCTTATGACTATATTGATTCTCATTGTAGGTTTCAGGATACAGAACTTTCTCCTATTCATGAATTTAATAGTACTCTTAAAGATAAGATCTCACAAGATGACTACAAACATGCCCAGAAAGTATGGAAGAAATTCAGATATAAAAATCTAGGTGAATACCATGATCTTTATCTTAAAACTGATGTACTTAGTCTAGCAGATGTCTGGACAGAATTTCGAAAAATGTCTATGGAATATTATAAACTTGATCCCAGTCACTATGTTTCTGCCCATCACTATTCTGGGATGAAATGCTTAAAATGACAGGAATTAGAATCGAACTTTTTTTACTGAAAAAGCTAAACGTGGTGGTTTATCTATAGCCTGTCAATGATATTTTAAGACCAATAATCCTAAGGTAGGAAAGGAATTTAATTCATCTAAACCCACATCTTAGATCTGTATGTAGATGAAACAAATCTTTATAAACATTCTATGAGCCAATATTTACCTATCAGAAATTATCAATGGGAAACTAGTCAAGAATTTTTACTAAAAAATCCAGCTATGCAGAAGTAATATCTTGAAAAGATTCTCATTATACGATTTGATGCTAAACGTGGATTTTACTTAATGATTAATTCCCATTTTCCTTTAAAGACTCATGAATATTTAAAAGACTTGCTTTTAGCTGTGGAAAATGTCATTGTAGAAAAGGATTGGTTATGTACTTATAATGCTAAACTTGTAGAACAATTAGATGGTGAACGCTTCTCTGCCACAGAAAAATTAGTTCCCTATCTTGGATCACGAAAGAACTATGTCATTCATTACCTAATACTGAGGAATGTAATGAGGCTAAAAAAGCTGGAAATACATTTCTGAGTGACTTTTTCAAACTTATGAATGTATCAGTATATGGCAAGACTATGGAAAATGTTCGCAAGTACCAGGATGT